GTCCCTACACCCTGAGGCTTTGGAGCACAGCAAAGACGCAAACCTAGTAATCTCCAGGGACAAAATAAAGACTCCTGTTTCCCCGCACAGTCCTCAGGCTGCCTGGATGTAACAAATGCTCACCCTTGAAATAATGACAACAATGACATGGGAGTCCTGCGCCCTAACTCCTTACTGCCGGCCCTGTGCACCTGCGCTCTGCGACCTCGTGACAGCCAGCTCGGCAGCACCCAGTGGGCATCCCCATCTTACAGAAGAGGAAACCGAGGCTCCGAACAGGCTCACTGCCCAGGATCTCAGCTATGGAAGCTGGTGGAGCTGGAGTTCAAAGTTCGGTTCTGGTTCTAGAACTCACACCAGGCCGGACCATTCCCAGGCCCTGCTTCCTACTTCATTTCATTCGGCCCATCTATGGGCAGATGCTTATTGAGTGCCTCCTAAATGCCAGGCACAGCTAGGTGTGAGGGACGGATGCACCTGTGGACAGGACACCCCCAGAGGCCACTGGCTAGGGCATCCCAGAAACCCTGCCTGTGACTAGACGTGAAGAAAAGCAGGAGCCAGGATGTAGAGAAAGAGACGGCGTGCAAGAGGACATCATTTGACCCCTAGATCCAGCTGTGCCTGAAGCTGGACTCCACCTGAGAGCTAATTACCTGAGCCGGCTCGGCTTTTCTCACCTCTGAGGCGACGTAAGTAGTGCCTGACACCTGCGGTAGCCAAGCCCTGCCTCACGCCTGACTCACACAGCAGCTGAGGCCGGGAAAAGTCAGGCCCATTTCCAGGGTCCCAGCAGGAAGTCTGAGAGCAGAATTTGAACTCAAGTCTTTACAACAGGAATTTGGGCATCCACTCTCGATAGCTTCTCGTGACAAGAAAAAACAAGCCAACTGGTTATTTCCCGACATCCTGTGGGGACGAGATAAGGCACAAGAACAAGCCTGCCTTGTTTCTTGGAGATAAGCCTGACCTCCCAGAAGCGTCTATCAGCTGGGGTGGCTCTGAGGCCTGAGCCCCATCACCAGCAATCCCCAACCTAACCTCAGGCCTCCCAGGCCCACAGTAGCAGGAACCGAGCAGACATGGAAATGCAGCGCCCAGACCTAGGCTGCCAGCCCGACCGGGACCTCCTCACCGTGGCCCTGGGCCTCCCCGGCTCCGGTCCAGCTCTGTGGGAAGGGGACGAGCCACTTGCCCTTGGGGCTGGTGTGGGAAATCACACAGCCCCCAACCCTGATGTCATACCCCAGTGCCCCTGCCCCTGCTGTGGTCCCCTCGCCCAGAATCCATCTGCTCCCCGGAAGCGCTCTCCCGGTGCCAACAGCCCACAGGGGCAGCAGAAGCAGAGGCTGTGACCCCCATTACACGTTCCTAGGGAAATGAGGTGCTCTGGTGGTCCCCAGGCAGAGACAGGATTTCCAACGACCCAGGCAAGTGTGTGACTGGGCATCCTGGCGCTTTAGGATGGAAGGGACCAGGCCAGCTGGTGGCGTGGTGGTGAAGGGGCTAGATTCCACATGGCTAACTGCACAGCTCGAGTCCTGGACCCGATAGCTCGAAAACACACCAGGCGTGTGTGCATGTGTGCACGTGTGCGTGTGCATGCCCAAAATCCCGAGAGGAGACTGAAGGAGAAGGGACTGCAGTGTGGCCATCCTCCGTTAGGGGTGAGCTCTCACTTTCCCTGTTTCTCTGTCTCCAAGTGCACATGCCTATGACGAAAATTTTAAAATACATAAATAAAATAAACACACTGGGTACATGTGCATGCATGTCCAAAATCTCAAAAGGAGGGAGAAATGGAAGAGAAGGGGTTGCAGTGTGACCATGCCATGGTAGGTGCCTTCTCGCTGCCTGTGTCTTTCTCTTTTCCTCTCGCCTAGGCAAGCGCATGAGCCCTCTAAAAAAGTAAAAAGAAAAGAAAAGAAAAAAGAACAGGAGGACGCTCAGTCCCTTCCCCTCATTTTGCCAATGGGGAAGCTGAGGCTCGGGAAGGGGCACTGGCCGGCTAGCTCCAGATCACAGGCAGCCCGACGCCCCCCAGTGCTCCTCCCACAAAGCACTGGTCACAAGCTGACCACAGCCACACTGGACTCCGGCAGCCCACCCCTGCCCTTCCCGCTCACCTCTGCACCTTGGCGTTAGCTGGGCTCCCACTGGGACCAGCCGGCTCCAGGCAGGTGGAAGTGTGCTGAGCCTCCAAGCTCAGAGATTATGCCACCGCAAGGGGCCCTCCTTGGCCTCTGCCAGTCCTCCAGGGCCCTGCTGCTCCCTTTTCTTTCCTACGTCCCTTCACTGGGCCCCAGGGTTGCAGCCCGTGCTGGTGGGGGACAGGCTGCTGAGACGGTCCTGCAGGAGCGTGTGCCACGACGGGGGCTGAGTGCTTGGAGCGGGGGCAGCAGGGAGCTGGTCTGGGAAGAGTCAGGGAAGGCTTCCCTGAGGAAGGACATGTAAACGAGATCTGAAGCGAGTCGGTGCTCACAGGGCAGAGCCGGGAAGCGGAGGGGACAGCGCGTGTGAGAGCCGGGGCAGGAGGAGGGGGACGTGGGGAAAACTGGAAGTACTGCCATGCTGCCCAGCAGCAGAGGGACACAGGGTGAGGTGCCCAGGTTCACATCTCCTCCCCCATCTTGCCCCTTGCCTCCCCCTCCAGGCCACGGGCTACGCCCTCTCTCCTCGAGCCCCTCATATTCAGCTGGCCCAAGGAGTCACTCGGTGCTGGGGAACATGCATCCAAAATCCTTCTCGAAGCCTCGGCTTCCCCATCTGTAGAGAGGGATGAGCACAGTGACCTGGCACAGCTGCGACACCGGGAACAGAGTGCAGGGGCTCCTCCAGCCGGCCACACAGCAGTGCTCCTCACACCAGCCGTTTCTCCGAGGGCCCGGCAGAGCCAGGGTGCTCAGAGGGTCCTCACAGGGAGGGTTCAAAGTCTCCACTGCCACTCCCCACCCCACCACCCTTTTTTTGTTTTTTAAGACAGGCTCTCACTGTGACAGGCCTCACTCTGACAGGGCCTGTGTCTCCATACCCTGCTTCAGCTTCCTAAGCTGAGAGCCGAAGAGCGCTCCCCCTCACCTGGCCCTTTCCAGACAAGGTCTCGCTGTGCTGCCCAGGCCGGCCTCGAGCTCACGATCCTCCCAAGTCGCTGGGATTACAGGCAATGCCACTTTGTCCAGCCTTCAGGTTGGACCAGGAGTCGAACCTGGACCTTCTGCGTGGCCCCAGCCTGCAGTGCACAGCATCTTAGCAGCACAGGCCACTGTGGCTGGGCCTCCTGACTCCTTTTCAATGCAGGACAGATGCCAAGTACTCCCTCAAGGCACCAAGCTGGCAGACCCCAGGACAACCTACCCCTCAACACTAGCTGCCCCTTGACACTGCCTCGTCGCTGGCCCCCCGGGGCAGAAGGGGGTGCTCCTGAGCCTCCTCAGGGCTCCCAGGCCCCCAGGTAGGAGCCTGCAGTTTCAGGGCCCGCAGCCCAGAGGCCCAGTTCCGGAGATTCATTACTCAGGCAAAGGCGGCCTTGTTACTGGCAGGGTCTCTGGGGGCGACTGCATAAATCACACGGCTCAATCAGAGGCCACATTTGGACTGTCACTGTTGTTATTAAATATAAATTGTGGATTTATTAAATAAAGCCCCTCGCTCCATCACCCCGGAGACAAAGCCCAGGGCGGCGATAAATCACGCGTGGGGAAGTGGCCTCCAGCCTCCCTGCCTTTCCCCCATTCGCCATGGGAACCCACTGAGCTACCTGTGCTCAGGACGTGGGATCCAAATGCAGGGGTGGAGGCAGTGCCCCTGCAGCTCGGTGCCCGCCCACTTCACCCGCTTTGTGCAGTTGTTTCCAAGCCAGGCTCGGTGCGCATGCTTCCCAGGGCCCAGCCAGAGCCCTATGCCCCCGAGCCCCACTGCCAGTGGAAGCCAAGACCCTCAGCCCTGGGGAAGGCAGCTCAGAGCCTGGACTCCCACGAGTCCTCGCTGGGCCTCTCCAGGGACTAAGAAAACTAAGCTTCCCTCCCTGGCACTCTGCCATCACGCACTTTTACAACCCGCATGGTGTCTACCGTCCCACTGGGGCCTCAGCCCTCGTGGGCAGTGCTTTCCTGTGACCACGGCCGTGTCCCACGCACCTGGCCCAGGCTCGGTGGGTGCTCACATACACAGCCCGCCTGGTCCCACACCACGTGGTCTGCTTATTTCATCCCCAGCAGGATCAGCTGGGGAAACCGAGGCAGCAGGAGGCAGGCACTCCACCTAGGCAGGCTAGCACAGGGCCAGGTCCTAACCCGGGAGCTACTCAGCTACTCACAGGAGTCCCGAGGAAAGGAATGAATGAACTGACACACCAAGAGTCCCCGTGGCTCGAGGTTACGTGCATGTCCCCATCATTCTGCCATGTGTTGCCCTCCTCCAGGCATGGTCTGGCCTGCAGGGGTCTCCCCACCCTCTGTGCATCATGGTTCTCAGACCCCCCCACACACACCTGCCCCTCTCTCCCGGCCCACCCCCTCCCCTGCTCCCCACTGCCAGCCCCACTCCTTCCCCTGCTCTTCTGGGTCTCAGCCTAGAAGCAGGTTTTCCAGGGGCTCCCTCCTGGCAGGAACCTCCTCGGCCTCTCTCTCCCCATCTTCCTGCTGCGTGGTATCACATCTGGTACCAGGGCCCCTCCTGGGTGGGCATGCACACAGGCGTAGACTCACACACCCCACCCGCTCTGCCTGAGGGGCTCACCACCCCTCCTGTTCCCACCAGGTAGGAGTCCAGCCCAGCCCTGGGCCTCGGCACAGTCACCTCCAACTCTCCCAGTTAGAAGATGAACTCCACCACGAAAAGGGAAAAGCCAGCCCGGGGAGGCCTCCCCTGCTACAGGCCTGACAGGCCCCACCTCCCGAGGGCAGGAGCAGCACACCTGAGACCAGGCCTCCCAACCTACTGGGTCTGAGTCTCTGCCCAGGAGAGAAAGCCAGGGCAGCTTCCCAGAAAGATCACCACAAAATAAAGTCGGGACAACGACCACACCAGCCCTGCAGGCCCCACGGAGGCCAGCTCCCAGAATGAGTGCGCTGGGAAGAGGGTGTGCCCTGTGCTGGAGCCGCCCCCAGGCTCGGAGCCAGCCACCCTCCAGAGCCCTTCCTCCCGTGAATAATCTCCCTGGCCCACCTTTACGACAAAGACTGGGCCTCCACCCACCCATGCCCACGCTGGGCCACAGTGTGGAGGATCCACATGCTAAGCAGTCGTGTGCCATTTCTCGTCTTCCCGGGACAGTGGCTGGGACCACCATAACTGTGCTGCCCAGAGGTGGTGCCCACAGCTGTAGAAGAGGCTTGGGGCTGGACTCTCACAGGGGAACCGGACCCAGGGGTGGGCAGGAGGGCTTCTTCCAACCACATCGTCCCCCAGAGCTCTGCCCTGCCCATGCCATCGCTGGGCATTATCCATCTCCCTGCCCGGCAGGGGCTCGTCTGTGGCCCAGCCCCAGCACAGGGACATGCACCCAAGGGGCCGAGTGGACACACAACCTCTCTCCAGGAGGCGTGGCATCTGCAGACGTCACAACCAAAGGACGCTGAGACGCACCGTGTGGATGAGCCACAGCCTGGGGTCCGGCCAGCTCTGCTCCTGCCAGTCGTGTGGGCAGGGGGCGGGGGACACCTCCCCCATCTGGGCCCTGGTTCCTCGCCAGGTCAGCCTTGAAGAGCAGGACTGATGGTGGACCATGGGCTGGAGGAGGGAGATCTTCCAGGACATGAGAGGTGCTCAGAGCAGGGCCAGGATCTATCCCTCCCTACCCTGTGCCAGGACCTCCAAAACGAGTCTGGGAGGGGAAAGGTTCTATCCGCACACAGGAAGGGGGGCCAGCTCCCGGTGCTGCTCCACAGGGATCCCCACTTGCTGGGCTCCAAGGCCTCACTGCCCCAGCCTCCTCGGTATTTGCCATCATCGCCCCAAGGGGCAGGCAGCAGAACTCCCTGGTCCTTTCACAGGAAAGCAGAGGTCTGGAGGGGAGGGAGGGGTGGGGTGGAGCAGCCAGCCCGCCCAGCCTGGGGTCCCTCCCGCCCCTCTCTGGCACTTGGTCCCTCCAACTGTACCATGAGAAAAGAGTCAGACCAGGAGCCACCAACTCATATACCCAGAGGGGGCAGCTGGAACGCAGCCCCCACACACGGCGAGGACGTGTGGCCGGGGGATGCCAGGCCTTCTGGTTTTCTAAAGCAAAGCCAAAAGTCTGGACTTTTATATGCAATCACCTCATTTTTAAATATTTGTAGAACATTCTCTTGGCCAAATCAAACAGGCGTGCGGGCCAGCACCGGCCCACAGGCCATCAATCTGCAGCTCCCCTCCCAGCTCGGAGCCTGCGGTCTCGGATCCCGGAGTGCGCGCGTTCCCACAGGAAACATTTCACGCTTGTGAACGGTTGCACCCAGAGTCAGGAGGCACCGCCGCCGGGAGCCCACCCCAGGTGGCCATCACTGCCCACGCCCCCGCCCGGCCCACCCCGACAGGGCCCCCAGCGCCACCCATGCCCACTTACATCTGCACATGCGGCGGCTGGTAGCCGTCCCTGTGGGAGATTGGCTGGAAGCGGCCCTGGTTGATGTTGTAGAAGGTGAAGGCCTGGGTGGGGTTGGCGCTGTACTCGTCCACCTCGATGAGGAGCCGGCTGTGCTGGTGGCGCCGCGCCATCACGTGGGACTGCGAGAACGCCATGCCCAGGCCGCAGGGCAGGAGGGCCAGGGCCTCGGCCTTCAGGATGCCGGCATCCCACCTAGAGCGCCACATCGACCTCCGCGGGCCGCCCGGGCATCTCCCGCCGCCAGGCCCCCCGCCAGACCTGGAGACAGACTGAGGAGACGGAGCAGAACCATGCGACAGTTAATCTGTTTGGGATTTGCTTTATTTAATGTCAGATGAAGATTTAGAAAGAGGGAGCGGGCGGGGGGAGAGGGAAAAAAACACAGTCGTACAGCTCAAAAACTCATTACGAATCTTTCCAACTCAGCAGTTTGATGAATATACTTTGGTAAAAAGAAAAGGGAAGAGAGGGAGGGGACAAGGAAAAAAAACCCACATCGCTGCGGACGGATGCAAGCATGGTCCAACATGTTTAAACACTTAAGACAGTTTTTTCCCTTCGATAAAACCCTCCGGAGCCTACGGGGTGACAGTGAGCCGAGGCGAGACAATGGCTGGTATTTTGTAAACAGGTAAGTTAAGTTTTACTCTGCAGAACTGGGGAAGAGGGAGGTTCCCCTCCAACCCTAAGCCCACCCCACAGACCCCCAAGCACACCCACACGGCCCCACTCCCACACCCCTGCGAGCCCAAGCAGGTAGACATGGCACGAGCGAAAATTCCTTCCCAGCATCAATTCTGCCTGAAGATATCTTTCAGCGGCTCCTCGGGAGAGGGGATTTTCCCAGTCCAGATTGCCTACACCTCCTTGGCTAGCTCGGGGGAGCTGGCGGGGAGAGAGACAGGGAGGAAGAAGCTACTTTGAAAAACCCTTCCCCTGTGTCTCACTGCCCTCACCCTGAACGGGACCTCAGGAGTTCCGATGGCCCCTGTCAATTCTTGAATCCACCTGGATTGGCAGCTTGCAAACGCCGTAATTAAAAAAAAAAAAAAAAATTCCGTTGGAAGATGCAGCTTGCATTTACATGTTCTAGATGGAAATCCAATGCCCCTTTGCCTGACTCGAACTCGGCTGGGTAGACTCTTAGGAGTTCGGGCCCAGGGTGAGGCTCTGCCAACACCTAACACCGGCCAAAGCCTCCATACCAACTGCTTTGGCTTCTCTTGCTCCTTTTCATGATTCTTTTTTTTTAACTGTATAAATAGGAAATGGCTTTGATAACCTTTTTTTGTTGTTGATGTTGTTTTCAGTTTTTGGTCATTAAGAGCCTCCGAAGATTCCATTTGCACTGTATTTAACCAAGGAGAAAATAGCGTAATTTAAACTATTCCTGGACAGTCATATCCCAATCACGTTAAACGAAGAAAAATTCCCTTTGCTTTGCGCTTGGAAGAAGAATCGACACAGTCGGAAAACAAATTAGATTAGGAAAACGACAAAAATTAGAGACTGGAGAACATTTTAATTATGTGCAAAGAAGAAATGGGTTATTAATTTTTTAGAAATCTTGGTCATCCCCACACGAGGTGAAACAAAACAGCAGCAGCCTCCTCCTCCCCCAGCCCCCCAAATCGCATCCTGACCCACAGCGCAAATCCTTCTTCTCCACTTGGGAAGGCGAGGGGAAAACGGGGAAGACTCCGCTTTTCCCAGGGCACCCGTGCCCCACCTCCTGTCCCCGCTCACTCTCCCTGCCAATGCCTGCATGATGGGCCTCTGAGGTGGGTCTGCCGGAGATTCCCAGCCCGGGGACTCAGAGCCAGCCTGTGCCTGTTCTGTCCATACCAGCAGCCAGGGACCAAGAAGCCCTGAGAGAAGCCACAGAGCGCCAGACACTGGTCCAGGACTCCAGCTGTTTGGAAGCAGGCCTGCCCAAAACTGGACAAGGGTTCGAGCCCTGCATTGTGCTGACTTGCTGTGTGGCCTTAGGCCAGCTTCCTAACCTCTCTGAACTTCAGCTGCCTCTTCAAGAAAATGCTTATGATACTAGTAACGCCACCTCCAGGGTGGGTGCGGGTGTATGCATTAAATGAGGAAACAAACAGTAACCCTGAGCACACCGACTAGCAGGTGCCGAGTGCTCAGCTAACATTCACTGTGACTATGATAATCACTGCCCAGTTCCATCTGATCCCTGTGTACCAGGGGCTGCCAGGGTGCTGCCTGGTTCTGGGGCGCCAGGTACGAGGGGGTGTTCCAGGCTGGGCCCTGGGAGCTTACACCTTTCTCAAATGCAAGCTGCCCATGTGATGCCACATGTGAATCGTTGCCGGGACTCCTCTGGTGGCAATCCTGGACCACAAGGCCCTGGGTGGCCTGGCCTTGCCCGTCCTCCTGGCACAGGCCAGCACGCCTAGGGGCTCTCGCACCACTGCTCTTAGGTAGTGGGCACCCCCAACATTCCCTGAGGCTGTCCTCGCCCCCCGAGGGAGGCGCTTCTGTGGCTCCCATTTTGCAGGGCCATCCATGGCAGTGATCCTCCACCAGCATGCACAGCACGGGGGAACTGCCACCCGGGAGCACCTCGCCCTCCTCTCTGACTGGCCAAAACCGACTCTGCCTTAACTGCTCAGGAAGTCCTGAGAGGCCTTGGTCAAATCCTGGTTCCAGGGGCCTGTGGAAAACCTGCTGCCCCAGCGGGCAGGGCCTGGGTCTCCCTTATCCCCATGTCTACTGCAGCCCTCACGAGCTCTGTGACCCTGAGCAATGGCTTAGCCCCCAGCGTCTCCATTTCCTCATCTATGAAGTGGAGAGAAGACACCCTTACCTCCTCGAGTCACAAGAATGAAACGGCTCAGCACAGAGCCAAGCGCACGGAGGGCCTCAGTCCGTGCTGGCCGCTACCATGTGCACCACGCCACCTGCCTATAGATACTGGATCGGTGAGCGTGGACAGACTGTGAGGGAGCAGAAAGAAAGACGGACGGATGGGAGAGTGCAAGGAGGGGTGGAGGGAAGCAGAGACAATGAACAGAGATGGGAGGGTAGGTGGAAAATGGGTGTGTGGGTGGTAGATGGGTGGGAGAAGCAGAGAAGGACAGATGGAAGGAGCATGTGTCTCACCAGACACGGTCCCTAGTGCCCAGCAGAGGGTGAGTCCCAAGAGGACTCAGTAAAGGCTGGAGAGACATCACCCCCTCCCCTCACCCACCTCAATGAGGCTAGCCTGGGCACAGCCCTGGGAAAGGAGGCTGGGGCCAGGGCCCTGAGGCCTCTGCCATCCTTGCCCCAGAAGCAGGTGCGCCTGCCCAGAGATCGGCCATGTGGGGAGAGCAGCCACCCAGGGGACTCGGCCAGAAAAGGCAGACTGCACGCTTGGGTCCTGGAGACGCTCCGCAGTGAATGCTGCATTTCACATAAAGGGGGTTCGCGATGGGCCTGCTCAGAGAAACCGGGGAAGCCGGGAACGCAGAGCCTTCTCTTAATACCCATGTAATATTTATGGAGCCGCAGCAGCGCCAGCCACCGAGCCGAGAAGGCGAGCGTTCTCCACCACGCAGCCGATCCACAGAGCGGGCAGCGTTCCCCAAATAAGCAGCTGTTAGTGGGAAGCATTCACACCGGGACCCACGGCGGGTAGCCCACCTGGGCCTCATCCTGGCTCTCCGTCCAGTGGAGTGACCTTGAGCAAGTCACGCATCCATGCAAGTGAGGCGAGGACGGATGGTGGAGGAGAGGGTAGAATGAATTAACGAATGCATTTACTTATTCCACAGATTCTGCCATAGCCCCGCACTGTCACCGTCCCAGGTGGCCAGAAGGAGCAGAGAAACAGCAGAGGTCCCTGCCCTCAAGCAATGTGGGGGAGAGGGGACGATAAAGCAAACCCGTGAGTAAACTGAAAGGCACTTTTGATGACAAGACAGAGCAGGGTGATGGGCAATCATGGGTGACCCACAAGGCCTGTCTGCAGAGGCGGCATCAGCTCCCCATGGACGAGGAGTAGCCAGCCACGCCCGGACCTGGGAAACGGAACCAGGCATGGGCACGCCAGATGCGAAGGCCCGGGGGCAGAGCCAGCACCGAGTGGCATCGCTTTTCCTGTGAGTACCACTGGCCACAGCCTGAGTCTGCCATGGAGAAGAGCCTGGACTCTGAAGTCAGAGGAAGCGGGGTTCAAATTTGGTCTCGGGTGTGGCTTCACCGTGGGACATTGGGTAAGTTGCTCAATCTCTCAGTGAATCCACGTCCTTGTTGGTTCCCCGCTGCAGTCACAAGGGGAAGGAGTCAGCCTTGTGCTCACGCCTCCATTAAGGCCCAGAGAGCCCACAATGAGTTCAGGTCCTCCTAACCCAGTACTTGTTGGGAAATTCTGTTTTTAAGGGCTTGCTTTGCAAGTCTTACTTTATTTTATTTATTTATTTTTAAGAGAGCTTTTTGGTAATAGGGTGCATGCACTTGCCGAGAGACAGAGAGAAAAGGCAAGAAATCACCACCCAGGCGAGGTGGCCACACGGCAATCCCTTCTCCTCCATTCTCCTCTCCATTTTGGACACGCACACACACGCATCTGGCCTGAGTTTTAAGCCACCAAGTCCAGGACTCGAACTGCAGTTGACTACATGGGAGTCCAGCAATATAACCATTACGCCATCTGCTGGTGCCCAAAAGTCTTATTCTTTTAAAAGACAGTTTTCCTTTTTGTTCTGCCCCAGAGGTATTCATTTGTTGGTTCCTAGGTGCCATGAGTTGGCTTGGGCCAGGGCTCAGAGGACAGCCTGCACGTTGGCTGAGACACCAAGTGGCCGCCAAGGCCAGCTGCAAGGAGAGCTGGGGGCCAGGACAGAGGTCTGACTCCAGGCCTCACCTCTCTGAGCACCCCGGCCCTGTCCAGCCTTCAGGCCCCATCATCTCAACCACACCACACAGCCCCTGCAAGAATGTCCCCAAACTCACTTCTGACCATGCCGTTACCTCGAGCACACCGAGCCTCCTCAGGAGTCAACTTGCTACCCTCGGAGAAAGCCCAGGTCCTCCAGCGGCCACCCAGCTCCAGCCTGCCTCCCCCTTACCAGGCTGAGCTTGGCCACAAGGGATTTCTCTAGCACCCTGCTAGTCCCACCTCAGGGTCCTCACACCTTCCATCCCCTCTGCCTAGAAGGCTTTGTGCCCCACCTCCACCCGTGTCTACTCACCTGCACCACTCAGCCCCAAGATCACACAGGGCCTCAAAGACATCTTCCCTGACCTCTCCAGGCTGGGTCAAGGGCCTTCACCCACAGCCCCCCAGGGATCCCCTCATCAAAGCTCCCAAAACAGTCTGGCTCCATGTCTGAGCTGAATAAGAAGTCAAAGAATGAACTGACATGCAAACGAATGAATGAATGAATCTGATGAATGGAGGATGGATGGATGGATGGATGGATGGATGGATGGATGGATGGATAGATGGATGGATGGATGGATGGGAGAAGCTGCACAGGCCAAGTTCTGGCAGCCCAAGTTCAAAGCCAGCTTTGACTTCCTCGGATCTTGGTTTCCCATCTACAAGCAAGCAG